TGCTTGAGCACGTTCAGCTCTTCCAGCCACCTAGCCTCTGTCTGTCAGAGGATGGAGATGGATGGCAGGAGAGAGATCACTTGATCGTTGCCTGTTAGGTTCACTCCCTCTGGGGCACCGGGCATTGGCCACTGTCGGTAGACAGGATACTGGGCTAGATGGACCTTTGGTCTGACCCAGTACGGCTGTTCTTATGTTCATTCCATGGCCCCGGGGAGCCACACTGAGGATGGGCTAATTTGCTGTCCGTGCCCTGGCTCAACGGCACGTTCTTGCTGCTGTTTCTCTCTGTGATTGGAACAGAGAATCCAGCATGTCGGAGGGAGAGAGGGCGGCAAATATTCAACCTGCTCTTTGTGGTGGGGGTAGGGAGGAGGAGGAACAGCAGCAGGAAAGCCCCTCCTGTTGCACCCACTGGCCTGCATGAACTTTAAGGGCCACCACACCGCAGATTGGGCCGTTCCCTATCTGTACCCTGGGCAGAGGCTCTCCTGGGGGTAAAATGATTCACCCTCTAGCTGGGGCTTGTTATTGGAGTTAGACTCGTGCTGTGCTAAGTCACTAGCCTGCTTGCGCAGTGTGGAGTCCTGTGTCCTGTACTGGGAGGGCGGGAGTGGAGTGTATTCTGGGGTCTCTCCTGGCCGTTCTGAGCACATCAGGAACCAGATTTCTAGGGCACAAGTGGCCAAATGTGAGACCTGACCCAAGAGAGGCTAGACCAGCCTTTCTCCCCCCAGAGTCTTGCTCTGGCTTGGCAGTGCCCCTGGTGGCTAAAATGAGGTGGGGGAAAAAAATGGAGGTATGTGAACCAGAGCTGGTGCAAATGGGCTTGTGGGGACAGGGGGTTTCTATTAGGCCCTGATCTGGGGAGGCACATTTCTGGCTGTCTTACCACACTGGTGTGTTGCTGGGAATGACTTCGGCTAGCGGTTTGGGGAGCAGTTTGCAGGCTGGAGAAGCAGTCAGCCGTGTCCATGTGGGCAGTAGTGTCAAAGGACGAAGGGGACCCAGACAAAGCTGGGTATGTTCAGGCTTAGT